GTCAGACATTGCAACTCTATTAATACTTGCTGGAGCATTGGATACAGACAAGACAAGCGGGGGGACAGGAGGGGAGGACGCAGGAAACATCCAGGCTTGGATTGGTGTCCCAGCGTCCCTGGCATGTCCGGGGACAGCAGGGTGGCAGAGAGCCCCAGGGGCTGAGGGCTGGCCTGAGCTCTGCTATTGTTGGGCTGCAGGAACCTCGGTCCTGTCCCAGCTGCTCGGGATGGAGCTGCTGCCACATTCCAGGAGGAGCCCAGAGGGCTGCCAGCATTTTGGCAGGAAGTTTTGCATGGATCCTCTGCCCTCATCTTAGTTTGGAGACCCCCCAGGAAGGCTGGGGGACCTGGGAGACCCAAACCACAATCCCCAGAGTTCCCTAAACACTCCAGGCATTCCCTGTCCCCCCAAATGCTGTGCCAGCCCCAAACTCCCTGTGCCACAGGGAAGCTGGCACAGAGCCTGTGCTATTCATTCCATCCTCTCCATTCTGGCAGCCCTGTGTGTGTTTGGTGTTTACATCCCGGGATCCCTGGATACTGCCGACCACACTCCTGGTGCTTCCCGTCACCGGCTGACATCTTCCTCCCAGTGCCGCTTCCATGGGCAGGAAGCGGTTTGGCTCCTGCAATTCCTCATGTGCCAGACTGTCCATGTGAACCCACCAAGTCTGGGAAGGGAAATATCCCACAGAACGCCTGCAGAAGGAGGGATGGGGATGGAAGGCAGGGATGTTGCCCTGACTGCCCTGGGTGAAACCGGCTCGCCACGGGCAGGAGCTGTCCATGCAGCAAGGGAAGGTCATATCCTTGTGTTTGCTTTTCCCACATGTTCCCAGAAAGGTGGGGATCTCTTCCCAGCTTCCTCCTGGCTGACGTGATCCAGGAATTGTGCAAACAGCCATAAAATCCCACAATCTGAGGAGGAAATAGCTCTGCCTCCCTGGTGAATTTTCCTAAGGGAGGGAATTATCAGCTTGGCCTCCAGCTGAAGGGAAGCACTGCAAGGGTCAGGGACAGGCATTTATCTCTTTTGATCCAAGTCAAACTCCAAAGGCTCTGTCCCGTTCCTTCTGCTGTGCTCCTGCCTCCACTGCACATTCCACACCTCCCAGCATTTTCAGAGGCCCACCCAGAGCTCAGCTAGGTAAAGAGTCTTCCCAATTTCATCCCATCCCATCCCATCCCATCCCATCCCATCCCATCCCATCCCATCCCATCCCATCCCATCCCATCCCATCCCAGCCTTCTCCTGTTATCATTTTCCACCCCGGATCCTCTCTCCCTTGCCCTGCTCCAGAGGCAGGAGTAGGATGCAGGGCCAGGTCCATGCAGGCCTTTGGCCATTACACCCCATTCCTGCTCTCCAAAGTACCTGTCCAGTTTTATCACTGTCCCTTCCCAATGCTTTGGAAACCTTCCCAAGATGTACTTACGGAATTACTGTTCCTGCTCTGAAGAGAGAACAGCCAAATCCTTGTTTTAATTCCTTCCCGTTAACATCTGAGAGGATTATCCTCCCCACAAAGGGCCAGGGTTTCGGTAATGCTGTTTTCACTCGTTTAAAAGTGAATTTTGTAAAGTCCTTCCCTCCCTGTGTCTCCTCCTCCAGTTCTTTCCATCCCTCCATCCCATCTCTTGGCACATGGAAGGTCCCAGGCTGGGTATGGAATGGAGAGAGCTGCCGCCACTGATCCGAAGAGAGTTCCAACATTAACAGGAGAAAAATTCATTGAATCCTCAGGTCAGGGTTGGAGAACTGAGGCCAGAAAGAATTTGTGGTGCCCTCATTATTTCAGTGCCAATTCCAGCAGTGCCGACAGGATCCAGCCTTCATCCAGGCAGGACAAGGACGGGAGCATGTCAAGAACGGATTTCCCCCCAGTCAGGAACAGCTGCACAATCAACTCCAGGACACAAAGAATAGGGAGCAAACAGGAACAGAATTACAGCTCTGAAAAGCTTCCAGCACATTGGAGTGGCTGCCGACATCTCTCACCCTGAATCACTCCATCCCTCTGGCACCGAGCACGGAGCCTCCAAAGCTTCCTGATCAACGGTGTTGCTCTTTTTGAGCAGCCACGCTATTTATAAATGGTTGGTAAAATATTTATGTTAAGAGCCACTTTGCCTTGCTGCCTTAGAAAATTAATACGACGTTAACTGGGCTCCAAACATTTTGGGTTTTCAAAATCGAGCTGAAAATTAAACAATCCTTGGATCTGGGGTGGGAGCAGCACAGCAGCAGGAGGATTTATCACATGGAAAAGCAACAGGGCCACCACTTCTCTGCCAAAGCCATCAGAATTCAGAGGTATTTTTATGCCTTGAGTAAATATTCCCCTTTTATTTTCTTGAAAGACTTTAAAAAAAAAAAGAATAATAATAAAACCTGGTCGTTAAGGACAATCAAAGCCAAGCCGAAGATGCTGATGTCATATTTAAAAAATACAGGAGGCTTCAAGATAAACTTTTACATTGCTCAAATATAGAAACTAATTAGACCTTCCCAGCCCCTACAAGGATTTCTCTGGAAGGTCCCTCTGGTTTTGTCCTCTTTAAAGAAGTGCTGATGCTTCATGGAAAACACAGATAAACAATTTGTTCGCAGCCCAGCCTGGCTCTTCCCTTTTCCCTCTTTTTCTCTCTTTTATCTTCTCCTGCTGAGCTCATTGATGGAAGCAGAGGCCAAACTCATTTTTAGTGGAGATGCTCTTAGGGGGTCATTCCAAGGCTGTCCCAGCACAGCCATTCCCAGGCATCTTCTCCATCCCCTCCTTCATCACCCTCCCCAGGCCAAGGAGTGCCAGCAGAAATGTGTAAAACCCCAGGAAAAAGCTGCTTTTCCCCTCTCTTTTCCAGGCCCTTTCCAAGCCCCAGGAGTGTGGTGTTGCCAGAGGTCCACAGGCAGGTGGAGAAAGGGCAGAGTCAGAGGAGGAAGAAGAGGAGGAAGAGGAGGCTCTCGGATGGTTCCCTCCTGCCCTGGAGGCAAATGTTTCCCTTCAAGATGGGACATGCCAGGACCTGCAATAAATCCTGGAGTTGGCTTTCCCAAAAGAGTCAGGAAGGGTGAGTGAGGAGACAGAGCTCTTCCTATGGGGATGAATATCCAGTTGAGTAACCCTCATTTGAGTAACCCTAATTAAGCTCTTCAATCAATGTGAGCTGAGTCACTGGGAGAGCAGCAGCCTGAATCTTCAGGAATAACCAGGGATTTGGGACCCCAGCTGGAAGATGACACTTAGAAAAAAATCAACGCTGTTTGTTTGTCTTCCCAACCTCAAAAAGATGGGAAAGATTTGGGATGGGCACCCCAAAAAGCCCCTCTGCTTGAAACTGCCGAGGAAACTCTCATGGCGAATCCAAGGAATGTTCTCATGGTGCAATTGTGCAAGAGCGGGCTTGTCCATTCACTGCTGGCCCTGCCCATGGTTAAAAAGCTGAAGGTGAAAGGGCTGGGATGGGGAAAAGGGAGGATAATAAACCTCAGGAAACACCACGGAGGAGAAGGCTGCCCCGAGTATCAGGGATCAGCTGAACCACCATGGGAACCAACCAATTCCTTGGAGAGAAAGGACAGAATGGAGAAGGTTGGGGTGGATTGTCATTCTGCAGATGTGTTGAGGTCAAGGAGAGGGAAAAACAAGCCTGAACAAGGTGTGGCAGCAGGGAAGGAGTCACCAGACTCCCCTACTCCTCACATTCCTTGAATAGCTAAAATAACACCAACCAAATCCAAACTCAGCTGAAGACACTGATGTCATCCTCGGAAAGATTTTCCAGACCTGCATTTTTTATCCTAATAAAATAAAGGCAGCAATTAATTAAATCCCAGCAGGCCTTAAAAGGCATTTTTGTGGCTGGCGTGTCTGGAGGCCACGGGGTTGGTGTGCAATGGTGGTGACACACGGAGAGGGAACAGGATATTCCTGAAGGAGAAAGGAGGTCATGGAGCTGCGGAAGGGCGAGCTCTGGGAAAGGGAGGTGAGAAACAGAGGGATGGTTGTGTCACACAGGAAGAGGGGAGCAAAGCATCGTGGAGTCATGCAGTCATTCAGGTGAGAAAAGCCCTCTGAGACTGAGTCCAACCATTCCTCCAGCACTGCCAAGGCCACTGTTAACCCATGTCCCCAAGTGCCACATCCACACCTTTTTTGGACACTTCCAGAGGTGGTGATTCCATCACTGCTCCAGCCTGGAGAGGCCCATGTGCCCTGACCCTGGTGCTGTCAGGTTTCTGCTGTGCCAGACTCTTCCAGCTCTCCCCACATCCAAGTCAGATTGTTCCAGGACTTGACCATCTTTTCTATGAAGGAATTTCCTAATATCCAATGTAGATCTCCCCTGGCACAGCTTGAGATCATTTCCCATCCTCCTGTCCCTGTTCCCTGAGCAGAGCCTGACCCCCACCTGGCTGTCCCCTCCTGTCAGGAGCCGTGCAGAGCCACAAGGTTCCCCCTGAGCCTCCTTTTCTCCAGGCTGGAGCCCCCCAAGAGAGAGACAGAGACCCCAAAGTGAGGAGGGGGAAATCCAGCCAGGGACACCTCCCACTCCAGGTGTGCAGAGGCAGGAAGGCAGCCCAGGTGTCCCTTGTGCCACCCTTCCAACCACCCGACACTGGTCATGACAAGAGCTGAGTGGTTGGGCCACTCAAGGAAGCTCAGGAGGGAGGGCTGGGGCCACCACCAGCGTGAGGACCTGTGGCATCATGTGTGAGGGTGGATCTGGTCACACGCAGCCCCCAGGTGTCCCCACAGCTGCCCTGGGGAGGCAGCTCCAGCCTGGCAGAGCAGAGGAGCCTGTGCCGATATTGCCTCATTGACTCCATTGTTCAGCTGACTCCGTTGAAAATGGAGCATGTAATTGTTTCCCCGAATAGAGTCGAACACCATTAAACGTTGGGCTGAAGATTTGCCATCCAAAAAATATTCCAGCTGGCTGGCAATCCTCTGGGATTGGCTCTGCATCACCATGGTTACGGACTGGCCACAGCTTTATTCCTACGGTTAATTAAAAAGCCCCTTTTCCGAGGTGGGTGTGCCCAGGGGTTTGCTGGCACCACGGCTCTTCTGGTGCCCATCCATGAATTCTGTGGCCCTGGGAAGGCACCACAGAATTCTGAGACCCAAAGTGAGTTGGGGGAAATTGCACATTGGACACAATTCGACACCCACAGAGAGCTGGAGACGCTGCCAGGGATGGACATCCCATCCACAGGGATGTGTGTTTTCCAGAGGAACCTGGGAGGTGTAAACAAGAGGTTTGTAAACCCAGGTAAGGGACTGCATTGTCTGTCCTGTCTGCTTGTCTATCTCCACAGATTAGACAGAGGTGGTCCTTGAGCAGTGTGAGAGCTGCTCCCAGAGGATGGGGATTGAGGGAGAAGTGGCTCTGAAGGACCTTTGTGCCCTCAGAAGGCTGAGGTGGAAGCACAGCCCAGCTGCCACCAGGGGTTGTGATGTCCTTGGGCACCTTTTATCAGCAGAGTTGTGAGATCACCCTCGCCAGCAGGGAGTGGAGTCCAGGGAGAGTCTGGATTTCAGGGAATCGTGGAATAGTTTGCATTGGGAGGGAGCAAAGCTCATTTTGTTCCACCCCCTGTCATGGGCAGGCACGCCTGCTGCTATCCCAGATTTCTCCAAGCCCCATCCAGCATGGCCTTGGACACTTCCTGGGATCCAGGGGCAGGCACAGCTTCTCTGGGAAACCTATGTCAGAGCCTCTTCAATTCTTCCTTATATGCCATAGAAATACCCTGTTGGGAAGGGAAGGGAAGGGAAGGGAAGGGAAGGGAAGGGAAGGGAAGGGAAGGGAAGGGAAGGGAAGGGAAGGGAAGGGAAGGGAAGGGAAGGGAAGGGAAGGGAAGGGAAGGGAAGGAAGGGAAGGGAAGGGAAGGGAAGGGAAGGAAGGGAAGGGAAGGGAAGGGAGGAAGGGAAGGGAAGGGAAGGGAAGGGAAGGGAAGGAAGGGAAGGGAAGGGAAGGGAAGGGAAGGGAAGGGAAGGAAGGGAAGGGAAGGGAAGGAAGGGAAGGGAAGGGAAGGGAAGGGAAGGAAGGGAAGGGAAGGAAGGGAAGGGAAGGGAAGGGAAGGGAAGGGAAGGGAAGGGAAGGGAAGGAGAGGCATGAACATCGCAGGAAAGCCTGCACACAAATAAGCCTTAATTATCTTAATGACATGGAGCTGATTATCAAAGCCAACATTTAGGGCTGGGGATCGGATACCATCTGGTGCTCTGCAGCAGCCTGGGAAGGGCTAGGACTAAACAAACTTGGGTTAAATCCCTGGAAGTCTGACTGGGGGGTGCTGTGTTAGGGGCTTAGCTCTCAAACCTCCCCTCAATCCCTCCCTCGGGGGCCGAACATCACCAGTTCCCCTAACCACCATCCCCAGCTCTGGGGCTTTCATCCTCAAGTTGTTTCCCAGGCAGAGCCTGCCCTTCATGAGGAATTCCATGCTCAGATTCCAGGAGCGAGCCTGGCTGCTTTATGAAAGAGAATTTTTGAGTCCTTTTGTCAACAGCTAAATGTTGCAGTTGACAAAGTCAATGCAAGATGTGATATTATAAATATTAGATTAATTTTATTGTATGGGATTTATAGCACCTAAAGATCCAAGGAGTTATTTTTACCTCTGTGAAAAATAAAACAAGAGAGTTAAAGTGATTTGTTCAGACACATTCCTCTCAAAAACTTTGTCAGAACCAGCAGATTCCCCAGGAACACTTTGATTTCCATAAAATTGCATTTCTCAGTGGGAAAACCAACCTGTCAACAATTTCAGGCTGAGCCCTCCCACAGAACCAAGCTGGCTCCAGAGAGGCAGTCCCCAAACTGTGGAGCCTGTTTTCCATCCCCAGGGTGGGGGGATCCCCCCAGGCTGCCCCGTGTCCCTCAGGGGTTACTCACTGTGACAAAGCCATGTGCGTCCTGTCCCCATGAAGGTGAAGATTTGGAAGTGCTGCTCATTCCTGTGAAACCTTGGTGTAAGTTTCCACCAAGATGGGAAGCAGCAGCCAGGGGCTGATCCCACATCCCAGGAGCTTCCCAAGCCCTGGGACCCCCAGGGATCTGTGCACACCTGAGGGGAGAGATGGTGTTGGAGTTCATCCATGCATGGGATGGGCAGGAATCATCAGTGTGATTTCATCAGCATTGCTTTCCCAGCAATAAAAAATAACCTACCTAAAATTCCAGGGAATTAGGGATTAGCTCCAGCCTGGAGAGGCCCTTGTGCCCACCCTGGTGCTGTCAGGGTTCTGCTGTGCCAGGCTCTCCCAGCTCTCCCCACATCCAATTCCTGCTCTCCAGCCCAGCCCAGGAAACTCTCCTTGGATTCAAGGCACCCTGGGATGTGCTCAGCAGTGCCGAGCCTCCATTCCAACAGGCACAGGGATGGGATGTGTCCTCATGGGACACAGAGGGATGTGTCCTCCTGGGGACATGGCCCTGCCAGCTCCTGGGAGCCTCCAGCCTCCACTTAAACCATTTAGAGGTGCTCACACCCACCCCGGAGCTGTGTCCCTGTGTCCCTGGTGATGCTCTCAGCTGCCTCAGCTCCCTGATGGAGCACGATGTGCATGTCTGAAGCATCTCCAGCTTCTTGGACACACTTGGAGCACAGATGATGGTGTGTTTGCTGCATTTCTAAGCAACCATTTTGCTTCTCACGCTGAGTGTTGGGCTGGTGATGCCCCAGCCTCCCCTGCTCCCACCTCATCCAGGTTTCCCAGAGCCCCTTCCTGGGGCTGCTGATGCCATTTCCCCTCCACTCCCTGCTCTGGTGGCTGCTGCTAAATTTAGCAAGGAGCTTCTGTCCATTCTAATACTAATAGGCCCATTTTTAATAATGATGTTTTCACAGCAATTTCAGCCCATCACGGTGTCACAGGGGGATTGAGGGAAAAAGCCTCTAATCCCTGTTAATAGATTCCATTTGACAGCGAACGTGTCTCGGGGTTCCTTCCCAAAGGCCCCACTGGGCTCGGTGTCACTTATGGCTGACCTTGGAGGGGAACAAGACCTTCTCCAGAAGAATGGCCCAGTGTCCATCTGGAATGGGGCTCCCAGTCCCCCCAGGCCCCCTTCCCCACGTCTCAGGTTTCTTGGAAAGTCTATTTTGGGAAGTCCCATGGGGTGGGGGTCTCATTCGCTTTTTCTTCTCTGCTGACACAAAGGTAGGTGCTTCTTCCTTTGCAGATCAGGAGATACAGAATTTATCCTCAGCCTTTCTGCTAGGAAGAGTAAAATCCTTTTTTTTCCACACCAGGAGGTGGGGAAAGAAAAGCCAAGAGTACCAGAGTCGTGCCTGCTCTGAGGAACCAACAGAAGCTGCTGATCCCTGTGGTCCCAGCTCACTGCTGGACAGACTGGTGGTGGAATTGCAAGGGAACCCCCTTGGAGCCTCACAGCCCCCCCAGAGCCAGCCTGCCTGACCTGTGGACTTAAATATCCCAGGAAACACCTGCTGGAAGGTGTCAGCCAGCACCTCACGAAGCTGCAGGTCCAGAAATCTTTAAACAGGGAAGAATAATCAGTAGTTCTTCAAGCTCAGGCAGCACCTCCCACCTGAGAGTGGGTCCCATTTTCCCAGTTGTGGAGGGGTAGGATCCATCCCCCAGCACCTCCCAGGATGGACAAACAGGGAATGCAGTGTGGTGGAAGTGCCCATGGCCAGACACCTCCTGCTGATCTGTGATGGGCCGTGAAGGTGTGAGGGCCCCCACTCCTGCACTGCCGCTCTCCCCCCTCTCTGAGGGTTCCTCCAGCTGGAGGTGGTCTGGAAAGGGGCAGGTCAGCCCTGCCTGGCTGTGCCCCCTGACCCCTGCCAGCCCCCAGCCCTGACCCCTGCTCCCCCTCGCTCTCCCCTCGCCCTCTGCGCTGTCCGGGTCCTTCCCCTCCTGTCCCCTCCTTTCATCCTGCCGGGATGGAGCAGCAGCTCCGTGTGTGTCCAGGGGCTGGATGGAGGCAGGAGCCAGGGGCCCCTGGCAGTGTTTTGGGGGGCAGGAGGAAGGGCAGAGCCCTGCTGTAGCTCACAACTAAATGCTGCCTTTCACTCCAGCATTCCCAGGGAAAGTAATGAGAATAATTAAAGGTAATTTCATTTATTTCAGCTCCAGCGTGTAAAGCAGATGGGGGTGGGGGTTTCAGCCTCTCACTGAAGAAGGGGAGGGCAGAAAGCAGAGCCCCAGTGCCGAGCTGCCTTCAAGGGTTACAGGGATGCCCTTTTCCCTCCTGGGACCACGGTTCCTCTCTCTGAACCCGGCTGTTCCTGCGGCTCACCTGGAAGAGGAGATCCCACAGTGTCCTGGGGATGCTCAGTGAGTGGTTCTAGGGGGGAAAGGATGGTCCCAGAGGGAGCCTTCCCCTTGAGAAGCCTGTGCTGGATGGACCTGTGGAATTACCCTGGAGAGAAGCACGGAGCAGGGAGAGCTTCCCTGGAGCTGGGCTTTCCCCCTCCCGTGCACAGGGAACACAGAGTGAGGCTCAGCCCAGCCTGGCGAGGTGCAGCCATGCCTGGGAGCCCCCTCAGAGCAGGACCCATGGTTCTGGGGAGCCAGAACCCCCAGAAAATTGTCACGGGCACTTCCACCATCCTGATTCCAGCAAATCAGAGCTGGGATCCAGAGCAGGACTTTAAGGGGCTGTTAGTCCCACAGATACCCTGCCTGGAGGGGCCTCAGTGGGTGGTGATGATGCTGAGCTGGGTCATTTGGAGCCCATAAAGCACCCAGGGCACAGCTCCTCCAGCAGCACCTTTCATCCCTGCTCCACGAGCTTGGTGATGCTCCCAAATCCTTCTGTGTCACACGCAGACATTTTTGGGGATTACAGGAGCTTCATCCTGAGACTTCATCACCTACAGCATCACAACAGCATCACTGGGCGGCTCCAGCTGATGGGAGAGCTGAGAAAACCCCGACTGCCAAACTCTGGCTGTGCTCTAACATATTCCAGCACAGGGATTTGTATCTCAGGGCATCCCAAACCACCTCCCTGAGGGTGGGGACGGGGTGACAGCACTGCCAGGTGCTGGAGCAGCTGAGCAGAGACACCCACGTCCCACAGTGCCTGTTGTGACACAGGGATGCTTTGAGTCACACGAGCTCCCGACCCCATTGTGTCTCTTCCGCATGAATTCTGCACACAGGCTCATGAAATATAAATTGGATCCTCAAATATTCAACAGCAGCGTTTGGAATGGCGTGTTTGGGTGCGTCTGAAATGTTCCCTGTGCCAGGGAGTGACAGGAGCCACCCAACTGCAGGAGAGGAAAAATGACAGGCCATGCCCATGGCCAGGTGACAAGGATGAGTTTCTGAGCATCTGCTCTGCAGGGATTCATGGGCAGGGATGAATGTCAGGGAGAAATTTGTAATTCTGTTCCTCACAGTAAATGTGATTCAGAGAAGTGTCCTCGTCACTAAATCGCTGAATCACTGAATCACTGAATCCCACAATCCCAGGATGGTTTGGGTGGGAAAGGATCTTAAAGCTCATCCCATCCCACCCCCTGCCATGGGCAGGGACACCTTTCACCAGCCCAGGCTGCTCCAAGCCCTGTCCAACCTGGCTTTGGACTCTTCCAGGGATGAGGCAGCCACAGCTTCTCTGGGAGTTCCATCCCAGGCCCTGACCAACTTCACAGGGAAGAATTTCTTCCCAATATCCAACTCTGAAGTATCATTAGAGACAAAAGAAGGGAAGAAAGGCAAACATCCCAGCAGGAATGCCTTCCTTGCATTTTATTGTCTTCACATCACCAAACCCACATCCGTGGCTTTCTGGCCTGAGGGCATCTAGAAGCCCTGGAGGTGCATCCAGGACAAGAACCAGCTCTTGCCACGGTTGGATACTTGTAGTTCCTCATCCCAGGAGCTGTGAAGATCCATGAAAGCTCAGAGGGCACCACCTCACTCTCCAGCCCCTGGTGCCTTTGGGATGGCGGCTGCCGCTCACCCTTCTCCTGCTCCCAATTCCCGAGGCGACTCTGTGAACCCACTGCCCTTTCCTGGTGCCCCCAGGTCTGTAGGGGCCGGGGGCTGGCGGAGAGCCCACAGGTCCCCTCGATCCCAATCAGCTGTGATTGAAGGCAGCCCTGAGCCCCCGTCCCCGCGCGTTTCCCGACGAGCATCCGTGGAATCTGCAAGCCATTAGCTGTGTGTTATCTTTCGGGAGATGCTGAGGTGAGCCATATGGAAGCACTTACTCGTCAACAGCCTGGGACAGGGTTTGGTGGGGTGGCCGGGACTCAGCCCTTTGTGAACTGCAGAGAAGCTGGAACGCGTCCATTGACCCATTTAATGAGCTCCGGCAAGGGGAATTTCACACTGTGCCTGGAGCAGCAGTAACCTTATATGTAGGGAGAGGGGGAGATAATTCCTAATCTTGTCAATCACGCCGTTGTGAAATCCACAGCAGGGTTTCTGGGAGCGGGAGGGCCAAGGAGAAGGCGAGGGCCTGATCCAGCTCCTCGCGGAGCAGGGCTGCACAAGAAAGGCCTTTCATTATTTTTCTTCGCAGTCTCCTCATTTCCTCGCTGCAAAAAACAACAATATATTTATTAACTAGACAAATATTTGACTGGGACAACATGCTGGAATGACCTGCAAACGCCTCCTCGTTCCCACCAAGAGGGTTCCTGCTCGCACCCGCGGCCCCAGATCCTGCAGGGCCTCTAGCAGCTCTGGTCACTCCCTCCCCCATCTACAGAGGACAAGGAAGAGAGGGAAATGCCTCCCCCAGGTATCCCACTGGCTAAATCCTGCTTGCCACTTGCCAAAGTTTCTTGGAGGGGTTTGCAGGGGCTGCTGGGGGCCACCTCAAGGCACGTCCTTGGGATGGGGGCACAGCTGGACCTCAAGGAAGGACAAGGGTTTGTATTTAGAGGACAACAGTGTTACCCCAACCAGCTCCCCTCACGTCATAGAATCCCAGAATCACAGAATTATGGAATCATTTAGGTTGGAAAAGACCTTTAAGCTCATGGAATTCAACCATCACCACCAGCAGGACCCTCTGATGCCACAGTGCTGCTGCTCCACGGTCTTCACCACAGGGAACCGCTCCAAGATTGAGCTCCAATCTAAAGAAACAAACAGAGCCTTTTTTCCCTGTTGTTTTTCCTGTTTGCCTAAGAAACATAATCTTGCCCCAAAATGAAAAAAATAATAATAACTCACAGGAAGGCCCCAAGCATGAGGCGCTTTCTGTGTGATTTCAATCAAAACAGGCTTTAAAAAACAAATTCCTTCGATATTCATCACATGTGTAAAACACATTAAAGGAGGATGGTGGCCCAGGCCAGAGCAGCAGAGCCCTCCAATTCCTGCCCATGCTGGAAGACCTGACCAAGCATCACCCAGAGCTTTTCCAGCCTGGAGAGTCCCTGTCCCAGGACCTTGTAGCTTGGAAAAGCCCTCTGAGCCCACTGAGCTGCCAAGGCCACCACTCGCCCATGTCCCCAAGTACCACAGCATTTTAAATCCCTCCAGAGATGGCTCTGGACAAAGGGACAAGCTGCTGCTCCAGAAAAACTCCATATATTCTATGTGAGCAGAGAACAGGAGAGACCCATGTTTTCCTGGCCTAAATGGAGCCTGGGAGATGGAAGATTTTAATTCCACATATTGGGAACTCTATAGAACCTATGTTAAAATTCCCATTTCATGCTCTCCTTTAAATCCCTGACTTCCAACAGCCTTGTGGGTCCGAAAGTTGCCATATTCCTGGGTTTCATCCTGGCAGAAGCCACAGTTCTGGCTGTCCTGCCCTCCACAGCCATGTCCTTGCAGGTCACGGCTCTTGTGGCCCCAGCAGCCACCTCGGTCACACTCCGGGCCACATTCCCCATCCTGCTGTTGTTTTTCCCTCTCATTATGCTGGATTCAGAGTTATTTGCACACAAACTAAAGCGAGGGACACAGAAGAAGCCCCCATGTCCCCCTCAGGTCCCACTGCCTCTGGCAAGGGCTCTGTTCTCTGAGGATCCACAGCAGCTCCGTGCTGGATCATTATCCTGGAGCAGCCCGGCCTGGCTTTGGTGGGCTCCCATTTTTATGAGGTGTGATGGGGAAGGAATGCTGTGCACAGTTTAATTAGGGATTGAGAGCCTTGGGGGCAGTGGGAAGCTGCAGATACCCCAGGCACAGGCCATTAAACTGCCCCTTTGATGTCTGCAGTCCCAGTGTCCCACCTCGCTCTGAGAGCAAGGGCAGGAATTTGGGAATTCAGAGGCTGCACTGCCCAGCAGGCCCTGGTTTGGTCCCTTCTCCAAGGGGATGAAGATCCATTTCCCCCAGCTCCTATTATTTTGTCCAAACACCTCTGGGAGTGGGACCCAAGGGTGAGCACAGACAATTTCCAGAACAGCCAAGGATAACAGGATGTTCCAGCTGGAGGCTTCACTTCCACGGCCAGGGCAAGGACAAGGACTTGGCTGGCTCCTGACTCCCAGGAATTGGGGCTGGGTGCTGCTCTTCCCTGCCTGGGTGCCCCCATTCCCTGTATGATGCCAAACAGTGACACAGAAATAGGATTTGGCCTCAGGAACATTTAAATTCTCAGCATCTCCCCAGCAGATCCCTGGCCGTGCCAAGGAATCCCCTTTTCCCCCTGCAGTGAGGGGAAGCTCCCAATGTTTGTGCCACCTGGAAGGTGCCTGGAATCCCAGTGGGAGCCAGGCAGTGCCAGCATCCCCTCTGGATTGGGAGTTTTGCTCCCATATTCTGGGGTAAAACTGCCCCTCACCCCACAACTGTGCTGGTGCAGGATCCCAGGAGGCTGAACCAGCACCCCGAGGGCAGGAAGTGCTCCTGGGAGCAGGGAGGGCTTGGTGAGCTGTCCATGCTCCATCTCCAGACTTGTTGTGGGCTGCAGGCACACGCTGTGGGAATTTGGGGTGCTGTGTCAGTGGTGGCTCATCCCTCCCAGCACACACCACGGGGGATCCCACACGGAGATGATCCAGATGATCCTGGCCCCCATGGCAAGGAGCTGAGGCTGTTGGAAGCACTGAGCTGTCCCAGCAGAGCAGAGGGGAACCAAATCCCAAGCATTGACCTGGGATCTGTGCTCCAGGACGTTCCCTGGGGGGCAGGACACATCTGGGATGGGACGACACTCATCGAGCTGAGTGAGGCCCTCCAGCTCAGGTCCTGGGATGGGCTGGGAGCTCCTGGTTATCTGTGGGGTGCCACACCCAGCTCATCCCATGGGAAATCTGTGGCAGGAAAGGCAAATGAACCCAACAATCTTTTCCCTGCTGGGCAGTGTGAGCCACCCCTCCTCCTCTTCCTCCTCCTCCTCTGCCTCCAGGCACAGGCTCCACAGCATCCCACATTTCCAGCGTGACAGAACACAAGTGAGAGGAACCAGGGTTGATTCCAGACCCCTTTCCTCATCCTCATTGCTTCCCATCCCCACGGGGCTGCTCCCGGTGCCCTTTCTGCACAGACACCCAGCACTGCTCCCCTGCCTCCTCCTCTCCCACAATGTGACTCCTCCGTTCTGTAAATAATTCCCATTTCCATTTCCCAGCGCCAGGGTGACACATGGAAGTGAAGATGTGAACTCAGCACACACACAAATGCCTCCCCTGATTAGGACAACTTTTAAGTAGGTCAGAGCCTGGACTGGAGCTGCCTGACAGCTCCCCTATAAAACATCCCGACTTTAATGCCCTGGATATTTCTGGTGGTGTGGAACAGGAGCAGTTTCCAGGGGCAATGTGGGGGAGCAGATGTTGCTCCCGTGCTGGGGAAAGTGACTGCTGTAAATGAACTGGTGATTAAGGTCATTAAAGAACCTTAACCCAGGGGCAGTGCTGGGACAGGAAGGGGACAGCCATCAGCACTAACAAGCCACTCGACAGCCACCCCATTCCAGCCAGTCCTGGCAGCCACATCTTCCCAAAGTGCTGAGGAGTGTCCATACACACCTCACTTCAGGTATCAGTGGGCACTTTCTGACTCTATTTATAAATTCCCTTAAATCTCCAGCTCCCAGAGCGCTGTGATTAGAGGAGAAAGGTCATTTTTAGCATTGCCTTGCCCTTCCTATTTTTTTGGGAGTAAAAATAGTAGGTCACCTACATTTGTGGCTGGGAGAAAATCACATTTAGGAACAAGATCCCTCACCTGGCATCCCCCAGCTCACCCTGCAGTGCCCACGGGCAGCTGTCCAGGG